GCTTAGAGTTAGAAAAGATTTTTGTTCCCACTGACAGCTAGTAGAGGAGAGGGTACCTGAAATCCAACTTCCAATCAAGGTAAAGTGCCATATTTGTTGGATATCTTCTGGGGCTTAAGTAAGGGCTGTGGGTGGAGGAGGGGTGCTCCAAACCCACATCCTCTCTGTGTACCCTCGGCTGTAGAAACCAGGGTGTAGGTCGAGCAGTGGCCATTTAACATGTATTAAACTGTCCTGCCACTTTTATTAGGTTCCTATCTTTTAAATTGGTCAATGACAAAGGTTTTGAGTGTTGTGTCCTTGACTTCATTTTCCTCATAAACCCTGTGGTTTTTATTGTTCAGTTTTACAAAGTGGGATGCGTTTTGGGAACTTGCACATCCTTAAGTTGCGTTATAGTAGAATTGCCTGTATTTCAAATATGATAGCCAAAAGCAAGAAAATTGAGATCATGAAACAGAATGAAAATGATTTATAAAATGGAGAAAGTGACCATCTGATGAGAACTGATGGAATTTTAGTGAATTTGTTTAAGAAATTGGCCAAAATTGTCATATATCTTTAATCTCTGTGACTGGGGAGGGTGAGGCTGGTGAATTTCTTGAGTCTGGAAGTTCTGAACTGCAGTGACACTAAAACTGATCAGATGGCTTCACTTAGTCTGGCACCAATATGGTAGAGCCCCAGGAAATGGAGGGCCACCAGGTTGCCATGGAGCGGTCAGACTATTAAAGCTTCCATGCTGACCAACTAAGGAACTGGGCCCAGGAGTGGCTGCTATACTTTCAACTTGGGCGAGATAGGGAGAACCCATTCTCATCCCACCCCTAAAAAGTTCAAAAACTCAAAACACAAACCATTAGAAAAATCTACCTACAACAAATGGTCTATCAGGTCACCCTGATCCCAAGGCAGACTGTATAAAATGTGCAAGTTAAAAAAAATAGCTACAGGGCAGCTAGGAGGCGCAGTGGATAGAGCACTGGCCCTGAAGTCAGGAGGACCTGAGTTCAAATCCAGCCTCAGGCCAAACATTTGACATTTACTAGCTGTGTGACCCTTGGCAAATCACTTAACCCCAATTGCCACCCCCCCCAAAAAATAGCTACAAAATAAGTTAGGCATATTATATACTATCTTAGTTCAGGCTCATCTGAACCAATTCTGGGGAAACAATAGTTATTTTACAATTCTATCTTCACAAAAAAGGGAATAGTTTGCTGTCCCCTCCCCCCAAAAATAAAGACTTTTTGGATAACTGGGATAGGAGAAGTTTTTTTTTTAAAGGGAATAATTCTTTTAAAGAAGGAAATATGTGCTCTGACCCTAAAAGATAATGAAAATCAGTCAAAATTATATTCTTTTAAAAATAATAGGACTTAGTGTTAGAAGAGATCTTCCATAATAGGCAGCTACAAAGTCACATTAAAGTAAATTCAACAGGGCCAAAAAAGATAATTCTTCTGCCAAGCTCATTGTCTTTTAGGCTTCAAAAGAAACCCAGATGTTTTATCTTTGAATAGTGATGATTTCATCACATTCACACAGAGGTCAGTATATTTTTAAGAGAAGGTGTTTTTACAGAAGATACTAATGGATACCATGCAGTATCATATACTCAGAGCAAGAAAAGATCTTATAGACCATCTAATATAATGTCTCTAAGATTTATACATGAGGAATTTGAGGTCCAGAGAAGTTAAGTGATTTGTCCACATCACAAAGGGAGTAAGGGGCAGAGCTGACGTCAGAACCCAACTGGTGTGACTTCAATCCAAGCACTCTTTCCACTGGACCAAGCTGCCTTCAGAGCTAATGGGAAGTGAAGGCCAGGATAACTCAAGATGCGATAGTGTTTTTCTAGACATTTTTAACTTCTTCAAGTCAATCAGGGCAGTTAGATGGTGTAGTGGGTAGAGTACTAGGCCTAGAGTCAGGAATACTATTCTTTCTGAGTTCAAATCCTGCCTCAGACACTTACTACCTATATGACCCTGGGCAAGTCACTTAACCCTTTTTGTCTCAGTTTCCTAATCTGTAAAATGAGCTGGAGAAGGAAATGGCAAACCACTCCTGTATCTTTGCCAAGAAAAACCCCAAAAAGAGTCAGACACAATTGAATAACAAAACAAACAAAACCAGTCAATAAACTATTTTTTCTTGCTTGCTTGCTTTCAAATAGAACTTAGTAAGTCACTCCTAGATCTCTTTCAAGTTTATGGAGAGATGTTTGTGGACCCTCATCTCATGGCATTTTTTGGTGTTCTTCCCAGAATTCTAGCCCTTCAACCCTAAGGACTTGGACAGTAATCATCACCTTCCCAGACAAGGTCAAGACTGACCTCCTCTGAAAACTTACTACATCTATAATTATCTGGAGGAGTATGCTGCTAGACACATGGCACATCTCTTCCCTAGGACTCCATTTTTACCATCCGCAGCAGAAGTTTTATTTAATTCTGTGGGAGCATTTGAGTTTATGCCCCATTAAAGTTTCCCTTTGAAAATTGCAAGCTGAAGCCACATCTAACAATTATGATGTTTTCTGGATCCCAGGCACAATCTAAAAATGGAAAAATTTATTTCATGGTCACAAAACTAATAAAAAAATGCTGCACATGAAATGCCTAAATTTTTCTTTTTTAATTGTTAAATAAGTTAAATTACTTCAGGCTGCCCCCCCACCCCTATCAAAATCATTCTTATGTTTATAGCATGCCATAAACACTAGCCTGGCTTTGGAAAGTCTTTCTGACTCCCTAGGAAATTATCCCCTAGGATTAAGTGGCCAAAAATATTTCCTCTCCTGTGCTACAGCTTTGGTTTCAGTTTTAAATTTAATCTCAACATGAATTTAAAAAAATAAGCAAATGGGTCATAATTAGGCCTCTTAATATTTATTTTCTACTCATCCATCATCAATTACCCCCCTACCACTTTCTCTTTCTCCCTCTATCCATCCAGCCTAAATCACATGGATAGCCTTCCAATTCTTCCTCTTCAAGTCTCAGATGTGTAATGGAATGGTGCTTGTGTGGTATCCATCTTTCACCAGCTGTGGTCAGTGTTCTACATGAAAAAAGCATCTTTGCCTTGGAGGAAAGAGTACCTACCTTTAGGTGAACTGCTTAGTTAGACTAAGCTCTCTCCTAAGAAGCCTACAGCAGGCTGGTGGAAAAAGGAGTTTTTAGTTCTTCCTTTATTGTCTCAGATACTATTCTGGGGACCCAAAAATATAACAAGGGACTAAAACAGATTAGTAATCTAACAATTATGATATTTATATGTTAATAATCTAACAATTAGGAAGTTATGACCTGTACCTAGGGAAAGTAGCTTAAGACTAAGCAGGCAGATGGTACAGTAGCATCGGGGAGACCTAAAATCAAATTTGGCCTCAGACACCACTTAACACATCACCTGGCATGTGGCAGGCATGCATCCATCTGTCCATCTCCATCCTTTTTTTCCTTTCTTCCCTTCCTCCTTTCTTTCCCTCCTTCTCCTCCGTTCTTCCTCTCTTCCTCCCTCCCTGTCTCCTTGTCAAATCCAATGCAACTATGGGAACAGAAGTGGCAGATACAACTATTTCCACAGTAATTTTCTCCTCCACTTGCTACTTCCTGATCATGGAAATTTCACTGAACAGGCCCCATCACTGGATTAAAAGGTAACACTAATTTGCTAGGGCAACCTACAAGCTTTAGTTATTCCACAGGAGGGGTACATGGAGGGATGGAGAAAGTGACATCTCAATAAATTAAGATGAGCAACTCTTGTATACTTCCAGTCAAAGGAAGATGACCATATCAAAAATCTGGCCATTATTTCTGTCATTCCCAGAGCAGGTGCTACACTGAACCATATCAGTTTGCAAAATACCATGGGATTCTTTCTAGTGAACATGGAAATGTGTGCCTTGTACAAAACCACTGATGATTAGAGTTAGAATGAGCCTTAGCCATCCTCTATTCCACTCCCCTCATTTTTTTGATAAGGAAGACGAAGCTCTAAGTTTCCTAAGTAACTTATTCAAAGTCACATCTCATACATGATGTTCTATTTCCCAACTCCATGTATTTTCAGTTTGTCCTGGCTTCCTTCTTGGTTTGCTTCAGGACTCAGCTCAAATGTCACTTTTTACAAAAACGCCTTTCTTGGTCCCTCCTACTACTTGTGACTTCTGTCTAAGATGACCTCCCATTTACACTGTATGTAACTTGTAAGTATATAGTTATTTGAATGTCTCCCACATTAGAATGTGAATTCCTACATAGTGAGGGCTGTGTTTTTTGCCTTTCCTTGTATCTTCAGTGCTAACTCAGTACTTGGCAAACACTAAGTGCTTAATAAATGCTTGTTGACTAAGTGAAAGAGCCAGGATTCAAACTGAGGTACTGTTACTGAGTTCAGCACTCTTCCCACTGGGCTATGGGGGTACCATGAGAGAGATCTGTAAATCTCTCTAATGATAATCCCCGGCAAAGCCTCTCTTTCACTCAGCAAATTGAATCCTTACATGGGCAAGATACAATGAAAGTCAATCTCTCACTTGGGGAGGCATTTTGGGAAATGGTTGTGAGGAAAATTATGGTCTAAACTTTCTGCTGCCTGTGAATTTAAGTTATGTTATCAATGTTTAGACAACAGGGAAAAATAATTTTTTGGCACTCAAACCAGCAACAGAACCAACCACAACTGTACTTGTGATGTCATTATAATGCATCATATACCATTCTATTCAAATTCAGAAATGATTCTTGGTTCAGTTGCACCAAATTTTGATTAAAATAAATGATGCAGCAATGTGGCCTTGACTATTAAAAAATGAGTTTAAGTTTTTCCTGAAAATCCTTTACCATGTTTCTCCTCTCTCCCCACCCACTGAGAACAGGAATAAATTAGAGAATAAGGGGGGGGGCAGAATTAGAAGCAATGGTTTCTCCTCCCTCCTCCCTAATCAAGTGAAACTCAGCTAAAAAAACATTTACATTACTTACAGCTTCAGATTTGGGAGGCACTGGAGGTGGAGGGAGGGTCACATCTGAAGATGTCGTTGTCGCCAGCGTCCCGGCAACGGGGAGAGAAGTGCCACATTTTGACCGGATGGAGCTTCTGTAATTATCACATTTGGTTTTTTCGCTCAAGGAACCAGTAAGGGGTTGGCTGTCCGTCTTGCCTTGGTCTAGCCACAGCTCTTCATAAGGGAGTTCTGGCTTTGATGGGAGACACAGAGATTCATCACCAACTTCAGGGAAAAGGTAATCACTCCCACTGTCACCAGAGTCCTGGTACTGTAGGGTATCATGAGAAAACGGAGTCCATTCCCCTCCCAGATCCCTACAGCCATGGAGGTTCACTTCACTGTTACCATGCAGGTTATTCCCATACACACAGACAGAGAGCCGGTGAAAGGACTGCGTTAACTCATCCCGGGCATAGCTGAGGGAGTTGGGGATGTGGTTGTGACCAGGACATCGACTCTTCTTAGGGCTCTTACAGTCGTCATTCCAATCTGTTTTCACGTCACGTACCGCGCGGGAGTACTCATCAATGTCAAACTGTTCTTGGCAGATACCGAGCCAATGCTGGACCAGGGTTTCAGGCCAGGCCTCTCCCTTCACAAGGTTTTCTGGGAGGCTGAACTTGGGGACGGTCAAGTGCAAAGGAAAATGCATGGGGAGGACTTTGTTGCCACGTAGCACACAGCAAACCACCACTGTCTTGGTCTGGATGTTCACAAACTTGTACCGGTGACCTTCACGAATGAAGTGGAGGTCATATGGGTTTCTAGGAGGAGGGCTCGGGACAATCACGTTGACAGGCAGCCTGGTTTTTTCCACAATGTTGCGGATGGTGTGTTCACCCTCTTGCATCTGAAGCTCCAGCGGGCTCCGGGTACTAAATCGGCCCTTGCACTGAAATGGAAGGCTAATGCTTTCATTGGTCCTGTGATTCATGCAAATGAGGCATGGCATTTTGCCTTTACCCAGCTTGCCAATGGAATTGAGTTTTCCGATTTTCTTGAAGATTGTGTTGAATCGTGACTTCTCCTTGTAAGTCTTTGCATAAAGGATTTCTGCCTGCCCCATTAAAGTGAGTTCATCCCCAGTGCAAAGAGTGATGTTGTAAACTTCTGTGTCTTCATTGCATTCTCCTGCAGCAACCTACAAAAGACAAAGATCAACTTTAAAGTTTTGATTTTCTACCCTGCTCAGAGAGAGAAAAGATTTTTCTATTAAGAAAAAAAGCAGGGGCAGCTAGGTGGCACAGTGGATAAAGCTCAGGCCTTGGAGTCAGGAGGACCTGAGTTCAAATTTGGCCTCAGACACTTGACACTTACTAGCTATGTGACCCTGAGCAAGTCACTTAATCCTGATTGCCTCAGGGGAAAAAAAAAGAAAAAAGGAAAAAAAAAGAAAAAGAGCAAATAGATTTTTGTTACTAGCCAATGAGATAACATAAGTAAAATAGTTAGATATTATTACAATTATTACTAATAATAATTATAAAGCAGTTTCTTTGCCTGGTACCTTCCTGATTAACTCAAATAATTCATGCTGACATGACATAGATCTAGAGGTAGCTAGGTGATGCACTGGATAGAGCACTGGGCCTGGAGTCAGAAACCTGAATTCAAATTCAGCCTCAGATGCTTACTTACTGTGTGACCATGAGTAAGTCACTTAACCTCTGCCTCAATTTCCTCAACTGTAAAATAGGGATAATAATAGTACTTATTTCTCAAAGTTGTTGTGAAGATCAAATGTGATAATATCTGCAGAGTGGCTGGTACATATAAAGCATTTAATAAATATTTCTATCCCTTCCTTCCTAAAATAAAAGTCTTTATAGTAACTGAAGTAAAGCAACAGAAGACTACAGTATTGTGATGTTAACTGAGGGTCTTAATGGCAAAACTTGGAATATTAAGTGAATTAAGTAAAACCTGGATGACATTTTTTTTCTTTTTGCTAAATGGGAAAAATTTGAGTAATCCACAACTCTACATGCTGTAAGAATCTAAGCTATTTCAGGGCAGGGATAATTTCATTTCTATTACTATGTACTTAGTGCCTGGCACAGTACCTGGAACATAGGAGGCACTTAATCAAAGCTTATTGAATGATCTAACTGATTGTGAATGGAAGGCTTGCAGCACAGACAGCAATTTATACTCTGCCTATGCTAAGTTTAGTTTTTCAACTTTCTCTAGAAGCAAACAGTTTAAGTACTTGTAGCTTTATTTCTTAAGTTTTAAAGTAAAATCTTAAATCACTATACCATTCCTGAGTATACAGCAGGTACTCAAAAATGCTTGGATGGTTGATTACTATTTCAAACATATATGGTGTCCATTAGTTGACTATACTGTATTCTTATTCCTGCTTTAGTAGCTTAAAACTGTACCAAGACTTTTGGAACACCCAGAATTTCCAAGGTAACTCTTTAGGAAAGGATAATGCTTTCATCTTTATTTTACAAATGAGAAAATGGAGGTTAAATAGCCTGCCTAAGATCACAGAACATGATTGTTTGTCAGGGCCTACAAATGAGTCCCAACTCCCCAAGCTCACTATGATTTATGGAATCTTAGGATTGCTACCACTTACGTTTTCCTAATGGAAAGCGGATATTCTTCATGATTCCACTCTTTGGACTATATGTTTAATTTTTTCCAGGACTTCACATTTCATCTTTAGTATTTCATAACATGTGGCCCTTTACTACATCTTGCTAGATTAACTTCTAGGGTACAGTAGAAAAAAGGACTGGATGATGAGCCAGGAGACTTGAATTTTATTTCTTATTGGTCCTATCTAACCCTACCAAGGAAACATTGAACAGCTTTAGGAATATTATGCTCTTCGGTGTTTCGCTTTCCTAGTCTTAAAAGTAGGGCTAACAGTTAATATCATATCCTAATTACAGAGGTTAAATGACTAGGATTCTTCCTTCTTTCCTTCCATAGTATTTTATTTTTTTCCCACTACATGTAAAGATAATTTTTAACATTCATTAAAAAACAATTATGAGTTCCGAATTTTTCACCCTCCTTCCCTAAAATGGTAAGCAATTTGATACAGGTTATATATGCATAATCATGCAAAACATATTTCCATGTTAGTCACGTTGTGAAAGAAGAAACAGACCAAAAGGAAAACAAAAAAAAAACACTAAAAAATAAAGAAAGTGAAAATAGCAGGCTTCGATCTGCACTCAGACTCCATCAGTTCCTTCTCTGAAAGTGGATAACGTTTTCCTAGAATACTTTCTGAGAAAGATGGTGAGAAGAGTTAAGGCTTCTTATTCTTTTAATTATTTTCCTAGTATTAGTAGACTTGACTGATGTGAAGGAAGATCAAGAGCCTAGTCTTTGAAAGCAACTTCTTTGCTGCTATTTTAGTTCCTGTCTCGTTTCCTTTCTAGAATGGGCCATTGGATACCATAATAATAAGAGGATCTCTAGTATGTTGTTGGATAGGTCCTTTTTTAGAGAATCACATATTTAGAGATAGAATGAACCCTTAATTTGACAGATGAGGACACTGACACCCAGACAAATGAAGTGATTTGTCCAAGGTCACTCAGGTAGTACGTGGCAAAGGGAGAGTATGAAGCCAAGTCCTGATCCAAAGCAGGTAGTGTTCTTTCTACTATGCTATGATCACCAATAGGGGCAACTAGGTGGCATAGTGGATAGAGTGCCAGGCCTGAAATCAGGAAGACTCATATGCCTGAGTTCAAATCTAGCTTCAGACACTTACGACCTGTGTGACCCTGGGCAAGTCACTTAACCCTGTTTGCGTCAGTTTCTTCATCTGTAAAATGAACCGGAGAAGGAAATGGCAAACCACTCCAGTATCTTTGTCAAGAAAACCCCAAATGGAGTCACAAAGAGTTGGACATAACTGAAATGACTAAACAGTAACAACAATTTGGTGTCACCAAAGGGTTGGGCCAGACCTCTTCAGATGTCTTCTGCAAAGCCATCTATCTGGTACTGTCATCTCAGGGAAAAAGTGAATCACTGCCCTTAGAAGAAATCATGGAAATGCATCACAGCTAGAAGAGATCAGTTGGCCCAATCCCTTCATTTTTACAGATAAGAACACTGTGGTTCACAAAATAATGTGACTTGCCAAAGATTATATCCTAGTGAATGCTGAGACTAGTTTCAAAGACTTCTGACTGAAGGGAACTTTCCTTTCTTCTATACTTTGCATTTCTAGTCACAACAATGCTCGAGTAACATAAGTAAAACAAATTCAGGCTATGGGGGTTTTAGGTATTTCTGTACGACTTATTTTACTTAGCAAATATCTCACCATAATAAACAGGCAGCTTATTGTTACTTTGGTTACTTTCAGGTCTTCTGCATATATTCTAATCTTTGCAATAGGCTTACTCACCCTAGATCAGCATCAGATCAAGTCCCTAGGAATGAATTAGGCTTACCCATTTTAAAAAATAAGGCAGATGGCTGGCGCAGTGAATAAAGCCCTGGGCTTGGAATCAGGAAGACTCATCTTTCTGAGTTCAAATCCATCCTCAAACACTCATTAGCTGTGTGACCATGGACAAGTCACTTCACCCTGTTCGCCTCTGTTTCTCATACATAAAATGAACTGGAGAAGGAAATGGGAAATCACTCCAGTGACTTTGCCAAGAAAAACCTAAATGGGGTTATGGAGAGTCACATACCACTTAATAACAACAACAAAATTTTAAAAAATAACAAAAAGCTCATCTGCAAACAATGGCATCAACAAAGTTTTAGGGTCTAATTTGCTAACCTTACACAATCTTTAAAGAAACTCACATTTGAAGGGAATGAACTTCAATATTTAAGGAAGCATCTCAGTTTTGAAGTTTTGACTATCTTTTGACTTCTAACATAGGAGCTGATTATAAAAATTAGCTTACTATTTCCTCTAATCTTTCAGTCTGTTATACAATTATTTTAAAAGCATTCTCCCTTTATCTGATGTCAATTAAGAAGGAAATCATCATATTTCCGAATGTAATTTTGCTTGATATGTAGGCTTAGGAAGATATTTCATTACTTCTGCCTTTCTAAAATGCCCATCTACTCTACCCAATACCTCACTCTAAACCATGATTCTAATACATTATTAGCCTTCTCTCCGCCAAGCAGGATTATACAGACTTATTGTGGACATATTATCTCACAGGCTATACAAGCTTCTTGCTTTACAGAACTGCATCGGCCACTTACATCATAGGGGAAGTGTACATGTTGGAATGATCTAGAATGTTTGGTCGTAGGATGATGAGAAAACCTCAAGACCTGAGGTGCTACTGCGTCCTCCTTATTGTAAATCTTAAAAAAATTTGGTTATTTCTCCATTTGTTTTAGGTTAAGGATGAAGTTATGAGGAGTCTAGGGATGTGAACCATATGCAACTCTCTGCTATCCCACTCACCAAGGTCATACAGAAAACTTCTGCCAAAAGGTAGTGACATGAAGCTCCACCTGAACTTTCTGTTAAATCTCACAGGGTCCCAAGGCTTTCTTATTCGTAAAATGAGGAAGTAGACTGAGGTCCCTTTTGGATCTAATATACTATAAATCTACCACTCTTCCATTTTGAGCACTTTTTGCTATCTTAAACATTGATACTAAGAAGTAATGAACATATACCCTTGCCCTAATTTGCCTCTACACACCCAAACATGCATCCAGCCACACTCAAACCTCTCTCCCCACCAACATACACACTCCAGAGAGCCCCAGCTTAGTTTGGTGGTAGCTGTCAAGAAACATTAACACACCAGATGAAAGCGGACACTAGTGTCTGAAAGGTTCCCCATGCTCGTTATCAATTTTTATATTCCAAGAAACCAGAAATAAAGGAGCTAAACGCACAGATTAAAGAAATCAAAACTACCCTTGAAAAATGCTGCTATCTGTGTATGTTCAACAAGAAATAAATTTGTGTGTGTATGTGAGTGTGCATGCACATGTATTTGTTTCTAAAATAATAAAAAAAACAAACTGTTGCTACTTCCATGCAGAAAAGAAACAGGACCTATGTGGACAAATCTGCAATTCTGTCCTTCCCCATCTGACATCATCATTCATGTTAGTAATTAGCTATTACATAAATTATGAGGCTATCTCACTCACCAATTTTCTGGTCAA